GTTTGAAACCTCAAAGAAACTGCCAAAGAACCGGATGCAACTTACCGGGTAAAATGTGTGTCCTCTCATATGTGTGATTCGATGACTTTGTTACAATTCTAAACTGTTCTTTTAATTTATAAAATGGGATCATTGAGTGGTTTACTCTCTTAAAATTATTAGTGTTTATATTGAATTTTTTTTATAATAAATCAATTCTCTTGATTTTTGAAACTTTTTAAGTTGAAAGGTTTACCATATTTATCGACTTCAAGTCTCTAAGGTTTCGATACAAGATCGTCAAATCTTAAGGTGGTAATTCTACCACCTGGTGATTTTTCGTAAAAGCTACATGGCTCATGTGATTTTCCGTAGAAGCGACATGGCTCTTGAGTTTAGCATGATTAGCAAACCTAAAGGACTTTACTGAAACAAGCATACCTAACGATTTAAAACAGTAACGAAATCCATACAATCTTAAGAGGCACATATGTCATCTTCCATTGTACATCCTCTCCCCGTTTGTTAATACCAAGTGCAAGTTATTGCCATATTAGACAAATAGTAATATTCTCGGATAATGTTGATACGAGATTCATCAGACATGTCATCTACGTGTCATCAGTTGATTAGTTAATACATGATAAATGAAATATACCCCACTTGTGAATTAGATAAAGTCAGTTTTATCAATTTTCACAATTGTAGTTTTTAACCAAAATTTAAAGAAAATATTTTGTACAACACCAGAAAGGAAGAAACTACAAAGGTAAGAACTTTTTTTTTCTTGTTTGAAAACATTTTATATACTAATCATGATCTAAAAACTGTGTGTCCTCTAAAATGGGATCACTAAATGGTTTACTCTCTTAAAACTAGTGGTGTTTTTATCGATTTTTTTTATATTGAATCAATTCTCTTGATTTTTGAAATCTTATAAATTTAAAGGTATACCATGTTGGGGAAAAAAATAAGCACCAATGGCGCAGCGGAATAAATTTCCTCACATTTATGTGAACCTATGAAAAAAATATAGAATACGGCAGCAGCAAATCAAAGCAGTAAAGTAAATGAGACAACGAATTATTTTACGTGGAAAACCCCCTCGATGTGAGGAGTAAAAACCAGGAGACCTTAGTCCACTCAAAAATCCACTATATCAATTTTGAGTTACAACCACGTCCTCCCTGTTCCTACAGAACAGATCCAGAGACTAAGGCTCCAAAGAGCAATCTCCAACACAAGAAACACCACAAGAGAGTAATACAAGAGCCTAGAAACAAGCTGTCCCAAAAGACCCTATATTCACTAGGATTCCAGTCACCAAATCAGATCTTCACCGTACAAATCCTAGATCAACAAGTCAGGAATACTGCTGCCAAATTTCAGCTCAATCCAAGAAGAATTCACCGTCGGATTTCTCAAACACTCAAGACAACACAGTCTGAAATCTGAACTCACAACTGCAGCGAACAGCCTCGCTAAAACCCAGATCTGCAACGAACCAACCGTTGAAATACAATCTCCACCGTTGAATATCAAGACCACTGAGTCACGAGGCTAACCCAAAAATTTCAGCCAAATCGGAGCACGTTTAAGCTCAAACGTTCTCTTGAACAAACTCTGACGAAACTATTTTTCTCCTACGAAAATTGCCTCTCTTCAATTTGTTTCTCTTTTTCATCAAAAATTAGGTTTTGAAGTCATATATATACTCCCTCATAATCCTTAACCCAATAACAATCTCATAGATCATAATACGCCCAAACCCAAATTGGTTTCCCCACTAGGAGGAAAACCAACAAACTCCCCCTCCGACTAGGTGGAGGAAACAGCCATTCCGGCTATCTCTCGACAGA